GGGGGAGCGGGGGAGGTGTATCATACATGAAGCTATGTACCTGCACAAAAACACCTTGAAGACACCCCCTGCAATTTATCCCAGCATAGGCCACACATGAGTTGGGGTGCTGCGGTGTGGCACCAGCTCAGGAAGACTGGGGAAAGAATATGCTGTGGCTTGGGCTTCTTGGTCCGCTGCGGCTCTGGGGCTTTCGGCACACCGTGGTTCTGGGGCTGCAAGATGGTGAAGGTCAGCTAGGGTGGCCCAAAGGGCATAGATGGAGGGGTAGATAGGCGGGTGGGGGGAGTTGAAGCACCCCTGTGGTCATGTGGGTGGGCTGCCAAGTGCCTGAATTTTAATCATGGGACCACAGGGTCCCATGCAACAGCTATAACTTTAGGGACTAATCTTAAGTTTCTTCATTCAGCGCCATTGTAACTTTGAATGGTCGCTGAACGAATGGTCGTAAATCAAGGACTACCTGTTTCATACATGAAGCTATGTACCTGCACAAAAACACCTTGAAGACACCCCCTGCAATTTATCGATGCTTGCAACCGTTTTCTATTCCTGATGCCTTCACATCCCGGTGAGCATCAATTAACACCAATTCAGAGTGCAAACTCTCTGCAACATGCAAATTCACGTGGTAGAAGTGGAGAGGACCCATCTTTTAGCAATGAATAAAATACGTTAAGGCTGTTTTCCCCAAGCTAGTGCCTTCCAGAGGCATTGGGGTTCACTTCCCATAATCCCCAGTTGGCACACACCTACCTCAACGCTTCTGGAGGACTCCAGTGTGGGACAGGCTGTTTTATTGGACCTAAGAGTGTAAGATGAGAGTGTTACGAGCAGGCAAGTTTATGGAGGTTAAATCAGCAACACGTAGCCCCTCTTGGCTTCTTTCAAAAGCCAAGCAGGGCCAGGCTTCGTTAGGAGGGACTTGAATGGAAGACCACCAAAAAAGGCTCAGAGATGCAGGCTAGACTGGGGAGTCAGAAAACCTGGAAGAAAGCAGTCACCAACGGTGTCTGAATCATAGCCAGGAAAGCTGCCTCTAAATGCATCCATGAAGTCACCAAGAGGAAATCTTGACTCCTAATGGAAAGATTCCTCAGTTATTATGAGCCGTGATAATTATGGAGGGACAGCAACAGAGGAGGACCTTCATTTTGCTTCACCCTTATGAGCAATCCAGGATAGCTGGCTACTGCCAAGCAGAAGGCTGGACCAGGTGAATATTGGCCTGGACTCTCTCTTGGGCTGTGTATGAAGTCCATAAGGAAGAGTGAAATAGTTCCAGAAGTACTGTATCTCTACCCAACATCTTCTCCAAACCTCTGAATGGAAGCAGATGTATCCTGTAAGGCAGTGTTTCTCAACCGTGGCAACGTTAAAGTATGTGGACTTCAACTCCCAGAATTCCCTAGCCAGCTATGGGGAATTCTGGGAGTTGAAGTCCACACACCTTAACGTTGCCACGGTTGAGAAACACTGCTGTAACGTCTTCCCACCACCACCATCCTGGGGACCGTCTTCCCAAACCATCACTCCTAGGCGTGATGCGAGGAAGTCTCGTCCAACATCAAGCACCAGCCATCCTGTTAACGCCCGTCTCTGTACAGAAAGGCCCAGTGAAGACATTTTCTATCCTTCCACACCCCCAAAGTGACGAAATGCCTCTCTGCTTCCAGTGCGTTGCAGCAGGAAAATCTTCCTCCCTTTGCAAATCCTGACGGGGCCCAACCTTTCACGAAGCATTCCCCAAACCTCCAGGAACTCATTTCTCAGGGTAGTGCCAGAGAAGAAAAAATAAAATAAAATAAAATAAAATGCCACAGATCTCCAAATGCACGACGTAGCTGAAGTCAGCAGCAGAAAGACCTCCTTTCTCTACAGAACTTGTCCTGGGGGCTCCACCTTCTTGGAAAAGGCCAACTTTTGCTTTACGGAAACTGTCCTCTAGTGACGACGCGGCCAAAGTTGCAGGTTAGTGTCCCTTGAGTTGCAGTTACAAAGGTTTTAAGATTTAAAATCTGTCCTTTGCTGGATAGGGCCAGCTGTTCAGAACAGCGGGCTACGACATCTTGACAACATCTGCAGATGTTGCTTTTCCTTCAGGGGCCTGGACATTAATTCAGTTCGGGGTTATTTTAGCCCTCCAAAGAAATCTTCAAGCACACCAAGGAAGAGGTGGTATGTTTGGCCTCACAATTGCTTAGCCCACACCCCACAAAGTGCTCTACACTGGGCAAGAAAGCACACACCGCGGTTCCCTTCGTCAACAGGGGACGGCATGTAGCTAGGCCACGTTCCCATCTATTGCTCACTTTCAGAGGACAGGATGTCTCACCTTGCCAGCAGAAAAGACTGCAAATAAGACATAAAAAACCACCAAGGTCCTCTCTCTTCTCCAGCCCAAGTCTGTACTGGCTACGAAGAAAGGGAGTCATAATCTAAATATCTGGCAGGCACCAGGGTGGGAGAAGCAATCTTGCCTTTGCAGAACTCAAAAGTTGTGATAACAAGGAGGAAAGAGTCGGTTCAGTGGGGAAAAGGCAGTTCTTCAAATGGATGGCCTGGAATGTGAAAAGGACAGACAAGCGAGAAAGAAAGAAAGAAAAAAGGGAGGGCCGGGGAAGGATAATATGCCGAATGCCGCCAGTTTTGGAGAGAGAGATTATACCTGAGAACCCCAACCGAGCAAGGCAGGTTGGGAAGCTGGGCTCTCGTGCCCAAGGGTTGTCGGCGGTCTCTTGGAGAAATTGCATTCTCTCTCTTCGGGTCTCTGGAGCCTCAAGTCGAAGGATAAATCTTGCAATCAGCACCTTGTTTGAATCTTCCCTGGAAGAACGAGGACAAACGTCGAGGACGGATCCTTCTCACGCTGCTGCTTTCGGAGCGCAAAGATCCTGCTTTTTCCCGGAAAATGAAAGGTGGGAGCGTAAACAAATCAAGGGGTTAAGAAAAGGCCTCTTGTTAACTACTGGGTGGCGTTCCCACTCTGGCCTTGCCGGTGCCTAGCGTTCTCTTAAACAAAGCCCATTTCATCAAAGAAGGCACCCCCCTCTCCCGATGCGCACCCACCAGGCAGTTGGGCCCCTTGGCCTGTTCACCCCTCTCTAGATCCACACAGAGTTTTTCCCATCTTTGCCATTTACGCTCCCCTTCTCTGAACTGGCTTTTGGCTTGGCCCCATGTTTCTCCTGGGCAGTGTTGGCTCGGTTCTGCTCCGCCATAGACCCACTGGAGGCTGGGCTGCTGGTTCTTGAGGGCTGGCCGTTCCCCTGAGTGCCGTTGTAGCTCTGGAAAGCGATGTCCAGCTGCTCCTGAGCCACCCGTAAGTGTTTATGGAGGGTAGACAAATCTGGGGGGATGTTGTCATCAGGGCTGGTGCACTGCTGTTCTTGGACCACATTGGCCATGTTCTGCTCGTGAGCCATCAGGCTGTTGGGGATCTTGGCTTGTTTGTCTGATTTCACCACCAGGTTATACTCTGGCGGGCAGGAGATGTTCTTTGGGTAGGCAGCGTAATTGTAAGGTGGCTGTCTGAAGCTGTGGATTTTTCGCTCGCGGATGGCGTCTCGAATGGTCCCAATGCCCAGATGGCACATCTCTGCCAAGTTGAGCAACAGACAAAGGCAGCTGACCACATACATCACCAGGAGGAAGATGGTCTTCTCTGTCGGCCTCGACACAAAGCAGTCCACGTTATGGGGGCAAGGGTCTCGGGTGCAAAGATAGTAGGGTCTGACCTCAAACCCATAGAGCATATACTGCCCTACCAGGAAACACACTTCGAAGGAGGCTCTGGTAAGAAGCTGGAAGACATAAATCTTCATCAGCCCCTCCTCTTGGATGTGCCTCCTGCCATCATGTTTCTGTCCCTTCTTCTTCTCCTCTTCCTTCGTCTTCTCTTTCTCCTCATTCTCCACCATCTCCTCAGCTATCATGGGCTCTTCTTCTGCGCCCAGGGAGTCTTCCAGGTTGTGAGCTGCCTGCCAGTGGAGCACAAACTGCTTCTTCTTCTTGAGGCTCCGAAACCTCTTCTCCTCCTCCGAGGACCTGGCGATCCGGTGTATGGCGTAGCCCAAGTAGATGACGGACGGGGTGGAGATCATAATGATCTGGAAGACCCAGAACCGGACGTGTGAAAGAGGCGCGAAGGCATCGTAGCAGACATTATCGCAGCCCGGCTGCTTGGTGTTACAGGTGAATTTGCTCTGTTCATCCGAATAGATGGACTCGCCTCCGACGGCCGTCAGGACAATGCGGAAGACGATGAGGACGGTGAGCCAGATCTTCCCCACAAAAGTGGAGTGATTGTGAATTTCTTCCAGCAGGCGGGTGAGGAAACTCCAGCTCATGTTTGTCATAGGGGCTAATCATTTACGGCCTGTAACATAAAAGAGGGAGATTGGAATACATGAATTCATTCATTCATTCATTCATTCATTCATTCATTCATTCATTCATTTCTGGGTGCCTTTGAGTCAGTCTTGACTCAGGTCCATGCAATTTTGGGAGTGGTTGGCTCTGGCCTTCTTCTTCCTAGGGCTGAGTGAGAGGAACTGGCCCAAAGTCACCCAGCTGGATCCATGCCTAAATCAGGACTTGAACTCAGGGCCTCCTGGTTTCTAGCCTGGTGCCTTAACCTCTACACCAGTGTTTCTCAACCTTGACCACTTTAAGCATGGCTGGCTGGGGAATTCTGGGAGTTGAAGTCCGCCCATTTTAAAGTGGTCAAGGTTGAGAAACACTGCTCCATACCAAAGTGACTCTCAATAATATCAATAATAATGACATCGCTGTAGTTCCCTTGGCAATGTTTTCAGATGTGGCTGGCCCTGGCCTTCTTCTTCCCAGGGCTGAGCTAGAGTGATTGACCCACCAAGTCATCCAGCTGGATCTGAGAGCCTAAATCAGGACTCGAACTCAGGCTCTCCTGGTTTCTCGCCTGGTGCCTTAACCTCTATACCAGTGTTGTCCAAACTTGGCCATTTTAAGATGAGTGGACTTCAACTCCCAGAATTCCC